ACAGAGCGAGACTCCGTCTCAAAAAATATATATATATATTTAATTCGGAATTGAAATAAATTGTCCATAGGTATTTGTTTTCATGTGGAGAAAAAGAAACGATATTGTTAATAAAATTTAAAGGAGATATTATTTAAAGGAACAAACTATTTTAGGCCTTTTGAAAACTAATATTTATAGTCAAAACCTTGTGGATCACAGCCTTCTGGATAAAGGTTTATTTGCCTAACCATATTTCTGTATATGTAATAGGATTTTATTTAAATGGTCCTTTTTTATCCAGAATTTTTTAAAAAGCGTTTTTGCTTTATATTATAAATATATAAATATATATTTATATTACATATAAGTATATAACATATAAAAATATAGGATTGTACCAATCTTCATCCAGAGGAGCTTGGATTTTTTGGAAGCTTATGTAAATTTTTAATGTTTGTTTATTTATTACTTCAACAAATATTTATTGAAAACCTACCATGTGTGCCAGACCCAAGGCTAGATATACCTTGGTAAATAAAAACTACAGTATGGTGAAGAGGTTTAAAATCATGGATTTTGGGGCTGAGTGTGGTGGCTTATGCCTGTAAGTCCAGCACTCTGGGAGACTGAGGCGGAAGGATCACTAGAGCCCTGGAGTTCGAGACCAACCTGGGCAACATGGAGAAGCACCATCTTTACAAAAAATTAAAAAACTAGCTGGGCTTGGTGTCTGTCCTGTAGTCCCAGCTACTTGGGATGTTGAGGTAGGAGGATCACTTGAGTCTGAGAGGTGGAGGCTGCATTGAGCCATGATTATGTCACTGCACTCCAGCCTGGGTGACAGAGTGAGACTCTTGTCTCAAAAAAAAAAAAAAAGAAAACAAATCATGCCAGACTGGTATGTGACTTATTAATTGTATGATCCTAGGCAAGTTACTTAATTTCTCTGGCCTCAGTTTTACAACCCTGCAGGCCAGGTACTATCATCCTCCCTCTGTCAAGTGGGAGTGTAATAATAGTACCTGCCTCGCAGGGTAGTTATGAGGATTGAGTGAGTTCACATAAGTAATTTTCTTAGAATAGTAACTGGCCCATTGTAATTGTTGTAAAAATGTTTGGTATTATTATTATTATAAAACAGACATGATTTCTACCCTTGTGGACTTCAATAGAAAAGACAAAAAAAGTAGTAAATAAAAATAATTATTTATTGTAATAAGTTATGAAGGCACCAGAGTACTGATAGGAAAGACAGTAGAGTGGGCATAGATAGATAGGATGGCCAATAAAGGGTCTTCCTGAGGTTGTAGTGAGAAGGTCATGAAAGATGGGAAGGAGTCTTTTAGATTACTTCCAGTATTTAATGCAGGAGTCAAATAATTCCTTTTTCCTAATTGTCAACCATGCATTCTTTTTTTCTTTTAATTTTTTTCCAGCTGTTACACAAGGAAGTAACATATTCTTTTAAAAGAAAAGAATTAGTTGGGTTTAGATAAAAATATGTCAGTAGTTTTGTTGTATTGAAAGTACAAGTAAAATGTATGCTGGCTGGGCACGTTTGCTCACTCCTGTAATCCCAGCACTTTGGGAGGCCAAGGTGGGCAGATCTTGAGGTCAGCAGATTGAAACCATCCTGGCTAACATGGTGAAACCCTGTCTCTACTAAAAGTACAAAAAAATTAGCCAGGCGTGGTGGCGGGCACCTGTAGTCCCAGCTACAGAGTCCCAGCTCAAGAGACTGAGGCAGGAAAAGGGCATGAACCCAGGAGGCGGAGCTTGCAGTGAGCCGAGATCGCACCACTGCACTCCAGCCTGGTCAACAGAGCGAGACTCCGTCTCAAAAAAAAATGTGTGCCAAAAATGTTATCCTACTTATCGGTATTATTTAGGGATAATTTAAGATTGCACCAGGAAACTCTTCCTTCATTGAATCTTCTTTGCATTTAACGTGATTAATATTGGGTAGAAAGGTGTTAACTGGTAGTTAAAATTTTTAGCCTACTATATATGTTTGCTTAATGATATAAAATTGGTTCCAAGCATTTCTCTTAGAATTAAAATTAATTTAAAAGTTAGAATATGTAACAAGTCACATCTTATATTGCAGTTTGTAAGGCTACCTTGCTAAAATTGAGGAGCATGGGCAGAGACAACGTTTTTGTAAACTTTAATAATAGCATGTAATGGCTTGGTCAGGAAGAATACATAATGCTGAGAGCAATGGATTGGTAACCTCTGGTTTGCCTGAAATCTTCATTTATTGATTTGATGGGATTCTACCTGAGAAGTTTTAATACTAGCAAAGTCTTTAGGTCATTTGGGGGATCGTATTACTTTTTATAGAAAAATAATTATTTAATATTAATGTCACCTATATTTGTTTTAGTTCATGCTTTTGTTGGTAAGATTATTATAGGTAAAAGCATATACAGCATGTTTTGTGAAATGTCTTTATTACTGACTTGGCGATATCATGGATATGTAGCCTGCTCAGGAAGAACTCAGAGAAGATCCAGATTTTGAAACTAAGGAAGGAGAAGGACTTGAAGAGTGCTCCAAAATAGAAGTAAAAGAAGAAAGCCCTGAATCAAAAGCAGAAGGAGAATTAAAAGCTTCCCAAAAATCAATCAGAAAACACAGGAACATGCACTGCAAGGTTTCTTTGTTGGATGACACAGTTTATGAATGTGTTGTGGAGGTGAGTATGTTTTCATTTCCAACAATCAGAACTCTTACAGGTTGTTTCACCTAGAGTTGGGTAAATGGTGATTTTGCCCACAATAAGACTCACTCTAAAGATGATTTCTTTTTTCGAGACAGAGTTGTGTTCTGTCACCTAGGCTGGAGTAAAATGGCGCAATCTTGGCTCACTGTAGCCCCCAACTCCCACGTTCAAGTGATTCTCCTGTCTCAGCCTCCCGAGTAGCTGGGATTACAGCCATGTGCCACCACGCTGGGCTAATTTTTCGTACTTTTAGTAGAGACAGGGTTTCATCATATTGGCCAGGCTGGTCTTGAACTCTTGGCCTCAAGTGATCTGCCCACCTCTGCCTCCCAAATTGCTGGGATTACAGGTATGAGCCACTGTGCCCAACTGTTAATGATTATTTCTGTGGATAGAAGTATTAATAGTGATTTTCTGGAGGTGGGGTTATGGGAAGATGATGAGTAAGTCTTTAAGCCCAGTAAATGCCATTTCTTAAAATTTTCTATTTTCTGAAAGAATAAGTGATTGAATCAGGATTGAAGAAAAATATCAGAGTTATTCAGTTACTGTTTTTGCTCCTTCAGGGCAAGTTGAAATTTTAAAAAATCTAACTGTTTTTCAAACTAGAACAGTAGTTATTTATTATGATATGCTTGATATATAGGCAATTGTTTTAATTGTTACTAGTAACAGCTTTTATTGACAAAGCATATAATTCACATATATGTGCAACAAATTATTTTATTTATTTATTTGAGACAGGGTCTTGCTCTGTTGCCCAGGTTGAAGTGTAGTGGTGCAGTGACAGCTCAATGCAGCCTCAACCTCCTGGGCTCAGGTGATCCTCTCACCTCAGCCTCCTAAGTAGCTGGGACTACAGGCACACACCATCACACCTGGCTAATTTTTTTTATTTTTTATAGAGACAGATTCTCACCATATTGCCCAGGTTACTCTTGAGCTCCTGGGCTCAAGCGATCTGCCCGCCTCAGCCTCCCAAAGTGCTAACATTATAGGCATGAACCACCGCACCTACCCTTGTTTGTTAATCACCGTATTTATGAGCAAATGCAAATATGTTCAAGCACAAATCATCTAAAATATTATGCTATGTTTACTAATAGGTATTCTCTAAGTTTAAAAAGGAAATCAAGAAAGATGTAATTGTACTTTAAAACAGGTACTATACACCTAACTAGAGACTTAGGGTCTGCTTTTTCTGCTTCTTGCACTAACTAATTTAGAGATGGGGAAAGATATTTTACACTCATTCTTCCCATTCAGACCAAGATCCAGATATGGATCTCTTATATATGAAGCCCTTGGGGACAGATGTGTTTTAGAATTCAGAATATTTTGAGGCTGGGCACGGTGGTTCACGCCTGTAATCCCAGCACTTTGGGAGGCCGAGGCAGGCAGATCACGAGGTCAAGAGATTGAGACCATCCTGACCAACATGGTGAAACCCGGTCTCTACTAAAAATACAAAAATTAACTGGGCATGGTGGCACGCACCTATAGTCCCAGCTGCTTGGGAGGCTGAGGCAGGAGAATTGCTTGAACCCGGGAGGTGGAGGTTGCAGTGAGCCGAGATCATGCCACTGCACTCCAGCCTGGCGACAGAGCGAGACTCCATCTCAAAAAACAAACAAACAAAAAACTAGAATTCAGAATATTTTGAAGTTTAGCAAGGGAATAAGTACATATTCTGCATATTTTATAATACACCCAGCAGTGTCTGTAGCAGCACCCACATGATCAAACATACTATTTCTATGGTAAGATATATGAAGATTCATTCTAAGATGGATAAATGAAGATTATAAATAGCCTCTTTACAGTTCAAGTCCAAATTTAGATTTCAAAAATCCATTTGGATTTTAGAATTATGAATAAGGGATTAAGGAAAATACATGAAGCATTTTCAAATCATCTTCTGTCATTTAGAATGAAAACATGGGAGAAAAAAGAAGAAAATGATTTGATATAGATGAGTTAAAACTGACAATGGATGAACATTTTTGTGAATTATTAATAGTCATTAAAAATAACTCAGCTCACTGAGAGGAGGACATGTCATATATGTTTGCCCAAAAAATGATTCTGATTTTTTGAAGTATTTTCATATGTATTTCTCAGAAGACATTCACATATTTGATTATTTTTAAATAATTCCAATAACGAGGTAGGATGAGTGTAAATATTCTTATCATTTCACAGCTAAGCAAACTAATGTTCAGAAAAGTTAATTGAATCTACTCAGCTTGTTTAGCTAGTAAATGGAGGAGCCAGGACTTTCTGACTAAATCTCAGTCTTTAAGTTAGGATATTTTCTTCCTATAAATAGGAGTAAAATAACCCAAATTTGGAAGTGGTTTGACTTTCTAAGTTAAGAAACATTAAGGAAATGATTCCTAGCACCACTGAAAGAGCCATTCCAACAGGTAGTGTCTGTTGGCTATCTAGAATTTTACTTTATTCATTTTTCTGAAAGAGATTGTAGGGAGTTGAGGCATAGCTCATTTTCTTTGGGACATTTGGTCTGAAAATGATACAGTCTAATGATTTCCACAGCTACAATTAAATGTCACTCTGGACAGTTGATTCAGTAATTTAAGTAGTCACAGTAACTGAGAGTTGCTCATAGCATGCTATAGGAAATATTGCACCAAAAATAAAGAATGTGATGTGTAGGATGGAGATGGGAATATGAGATGGAAGGAAAGTGGAATTTTACCTTGAATTGTAACACAATTTCCAATCTAATATATGCGTATTACATATGTAAACTGACAAATTGAAGAACAGGAATTTTATAAATCATCGTTCCTGCTTAAACTATGTAGCCACCTGAAAGTTTGTTGGTAACCAAAGATAAAAGAAGAAATTGGAAAGTGACATTTTTATTTTATTTCATGAAGGATATAGAAGTAAGAAGAAACCTCAGGCCAGGTGCAGTGGCTCATACCTGTAATCCCAGCACACTGGAAGGCTGAGGTGGGAGGATCACTTGAGCCCAGGAGTTCAAAACCAGCGCAGGCAACATAATGAGACTGTCTCTACAAAAAATTTTAAAAATTAGTCAGGCATGGTGGTGCATATCTGTAGTTCTAGCTACTCTGGAGGCTGAGGCGGGAAGATCACTTGAACCCGGGAGGTTGAGGCTGCAGTGAGCTATGATCAGGCCACTGCACTCCAGCCTGGGCAACAGAGTGAATCCCCATCTCTTCTGAGAAAAAAATAAAAGAAGAAGAAACCTGAACTCAACTAAGACACGTATATCTTTGCAGAAACATGCTAAGGGACAAGATTTGCTTAAACGAGTATGTGAGCATCTCAATCTTTTGGAAGAAGACTATTTTGGTCTAGCCATTTGGGATAACGCAACCTCTAAGGTGAGGAGCCTGCTTGCAATTTAAGAAGCTGACAAAAAATTTGTTTTAATTCTTTTGTTGTTAAGAATGTATTTATACCTGCTTCTCTAAGCCAGTATTCTTAGAGTTATTCTTGTCTACTCTTATTTCTTAGATTTTCCTGCTGTTTTTCTTCTAGAATTAACATTTTAAAGAAAAGACCATTGCTGGTGTATTCTTTCATCATTGAAATAAAGTATATATTATATGTTTTTAAAAGGCAAGGAAAGTAAAGAGGTATGATGCACTGATTAACAAGTACTGTAGATGTCAATAACTTAATATATTATGCAATTGGTATTGTATCTAATGCATAGGAGGTTTATAGCAAATATTTGTTGAATGGATGATCTGTTATTAATATTATAATGACATATAATTAAATATAATTATAATTATAATTTGAAAGCAACATTATGAAACAGAATAAAATCCCAATATTATTGAAACAGTCATAACGATGAATCTGACATTTCCTCCAACCTAAAAGGAAACCAGTTGTTAACTTTTGAAGGAAGTAAAAGAATGGACTTGGAGGAGGGAAGAAAGGTTAAGGACTTGGAGGAGGGAAGAAAGGTTAAGGACTTGGAGGAGGGAAGAAAAGTTAAGGACTTGGAGGAGGGAAGAAAGGTTTAAAGTCAGGTATTTCACCTCAGAATACTTGAATTATTTCCTGGGCCAATTAATTGAAAATTGCAAATATTTAACATAAATCTAATGATGAAAGCTTTAGTCCAGTTTAACAAGTATTTGCAGGTGCTGTACTAGATGATATGGATGCAGCTAGACATAGTCTAAGGCAGACATAGTCCCTGCCCTCTGAAACTTCCAGTTTATTATGAAGATAACATTAATTACTGGTTTGATGAGCACTATACAAAAGGAAATACAGGTTATCAGGGGAGAGTATGGCCCAGGAAGTCGCTTCTGGGGAGGTGATGCCTTAGCTGAGAGAGACCTGAAGGATAAAATGGGCAAGTGAGGTGGAGAGAGAATGGCTTGTGTAAGAACTGGAGTTGAGAGTGACATTTCAGGAACTGAAAGCCATCTAGCCTAGGTGAACACAGGGTATGAGGAATAAAGTAACAGATGAATCTGGAGACGTATATGGCCAGGTTGGGGGTGGGTGTAAAGTGGGGGATCCTGGAGTCTTGTAGACACTGAATTTAAGCCATTTAAGTTCATCCTTTCTCCAAGATAATTTAAGTGTATTAAGAAAAGTTGAAGGGCAGCAGCCTTTAACACCTGCAAACTGTAGATTAGGTTGTGTGAGTTTGATAATGCAAACTAGAAGACATGGAATTATCCTTTGCCTAAACAAAGTCTATTTGTAGAATATACCTAGTAGTTTACAAAAATTTGTTTCTTCTATGAATGACTACTAACTCAAACAGAACTGTGTTTGAGCACTAGGTTAATATTATTCTTAAAAGACTTAACCTTTACTTTGTCTCCCTTAGGGCCCAAACTAGCTTGTACTGGTAAATATAGCTAATATTTGAGTACTGTACATTTCAATATCATGAAGGGAGTAAATCTCAAATGTTCTCATCACAAGGTCAAATATTTGAAATGATGGATAGTTTGATTCATTTGATTTAATCATTTCACATGGTATTAAAAAAACATAACATTACTTTCTACCCCATAAATATATTACAACTATAATTTTTAAATGAATAATTAAAAAAATTCTAGCCTTAATTGAAACCACTATTTCCCATTAGTAGGGGAACATTGAAGTTAATTTAAAAACAAAACAATGCCCTCAAAACTACAGTGAAAAACTTTCTACAACTGTGAGCTAGAAAATTCTCCCATGAATTGGCCGGATGCGTTGGCTCACGCCTGTAATCCCAGCACTTTGGGAGGCAAGGTGGGCGGATCACGAGGTCAGGAGATTGAGACCATGCTGGCTAACCCGGTGAAACCCCGTCTCTACTAAAAATACAGAAAGTTAGCCGGGCGTGGTGGCGGGAGCAGTGGCGGGCGCCTGTAGTGCCAGCTACAGAGTCCCAGCTCGAGAGGCTGAGGCAGGAGAATGGCATGAGCCCGGGAGGCGGAACTTGCAGTGAGCCGATATCGCGCCACTGCACTCCAGCCTGGGCGACAGAGCGAGACTCCGTCTCAAAAAAGAAAAAAAAAAAAAAGAAAATTCTCCCATGAATCAAGGGAAATACTCTGAAAAGTGTTTTCTGTAAGCTCAGCGAGATAATTTTGATTCCCAGAAATTGAATAGTTACATTGTGGGGGAAAAAACAACCAAAATTGATTTGAGAGTAATTAGCAATCCTTTAATTTGGCATGTAAAGTCACCGAGTACCTACATCTACAAAATATGGCTGGAAATATTTTTTTCTGTGATCCAAGCATACTTACATTTCTAGAAGCTGACTCATCTAAAGCCATTCAGCAGAAGAAATAATTTCTGCTTACAGTTGAGCTTCTAGGGCCCACGTTGGGACAAAAATTTTCAGTTACACTGAAAAATTTTCACCATTGTTGGGATTTATATTCTGTCCTGTCACCAAGTTTATTTTCTTTATAGTGGTTTTCACTTTTTTTTTTTGTTTGAGACAGGGTCTCACTCTGTTGCCTGTGCTAGAGTGCAGTGGTGTGATCTTGCTCACTGCAGTCTCTGCTTTCCACGCTCAAGCGATCCTCCCACTTCCGTCTTCCGAGTAGCTGGGACCACAGGCACGCACCACCATGCTTGGCCAATTTTTAAATTTTTATATTTTGTAGAGACAGGGCCTCACTATGTTGCTCAGGCTGGTCTTGAACTCCTGGGGTCAAGCAATCCTCCTGCCTCAGCCTCCCAAAGATGCTAAATTACAGGCATGGCCCACTGTGCCTTACCGCTATTGTAATTAGTTTTTGTTTGTTTGAGACGGAGCTTCACTCTTATCACCCAGGCTAGAGTGCAATGGCTTGATCTGTGCTCACTGAAATCTCCACCTCCTGGGCTCAAGCGATTCTCCTGCCTCAGCCTCCCAAGTAGCTGGGATTACAGGCATGCACCACCACGCCTGGCTAATTTTTTGTATTTTTAGTAGAGATGGGGTTTCACCATGTTGGCCAGGCTGGTCTTGAACTCCTGACCTCAGGCGATTCGCCTGCCTTGGCCCCCCAAAGTGCTGGGATTACAGGCGTGAGTCACTGCACCCGACCGTAATTAGTTTTTAAAGAGCAAATGTCAAATTGCTTTATTTATGTTCACTTACATATTTAGGTGTAAAGTGTTGTTAAAAGTGCTTAATATAAAAGCTTAATAACAAAGTACAAACCTAGCTGTGTCAGAAAAGTGCATTATTGTCCCCGGCAAGTATTTTTGGAAAAGAAAAGTTGATACCTCTGAATCATAATCTGGCTTCAACTTCCCTGATAGTTTATAAGAGCCCCTACTTGGGAAGTCAATGGGCAAGCGAATCCTGGGAAATATAGGCCTTATCATAGTCAGGGCATCGGCAGGTCTGTATGGACCAGGTTCTTATAGGACATCCAGCGGGAACATCATCAAAGGGAATGGGCTACTCTATATTTTATGCTTCTAAGTTTATTATGGTCAACCTCCAGCTCAGAAGTAAGTCAAAACAGTTTTTTTTTTTTTTAAATTTTATTTATTTTTTAATTAAAACAAGAGTCCTTAGCTGATCTCAGAAGCAGAGCATGGAAGGGAAAGTAAGAACTTCATTAGCACATGGCCTGGGTAAATCTTGTACAAAAATGAATCTGGGGAAGATTTACCTTAGGATTGTCAAGTTAAAGGGTCAGTACAGTAGCAAAAACACCTTAGTGATGGCAGGCCTTCCTTAATATGCTGTCTCTTGGCTGGGTGCGGTGGCTCATGCCTGTAATCCCAGCACTTTGGGAGGCTGAACTGGGTGGATCACCTGAGTTCACGACCATCCTGGCCAACATTGTGAAACCCCATTTCTATTGAAAATACAAAAATTAGCCAGGCATGGTGGCACAATCCTGTAATCCCACCTACTCGGGAGGCTGAGGCATGAGAATCACTTGAACCCAGGAGGCAGAGGTTGCAGGGAGCCAAGGTCATGCCTTTGCACTCCAGCTGGGGCAACAGAGTGAGACCCTGTCTCAGAAATAAATAAATGATGCTGTCTCTTAAGTCACAGTTGTCTCTTAAGTCACAGTTGTCTAGTCTGGATGGGTATCACGGTCTGTTTTGTACACAGCTGTCCTGGGTATCTCCCATCACTATCATCCTGCAGATGTGCTTTGCCTCTTTCCTGTGATGTTATTCCTGTTTCCTTTATCCTTGCTTTTCCTTGTGTTTTGATAGAGTGCTACTCCTCAGAAATGGTACATGGGATGCAATCGTTTTTGAGACATTACATGTCTGAAAAGATGGCTTTATTCTGCCTTCACATTTGATTGTGAATTTTGTTGGGTATAGGATTTTAGGCTTGAAGTTATTTGCCTTCAGAATTTTGAAGGCATTGCTTCATTGTCTTCTAGTTTCCAGTGTTGCTCTTGAAAGGGCCAGAGCCATTTTGATTTTTGATCTTTTATATGACTTTTGTTCCTCTCCCTCCTCCTTTACACAATCAAGTGAGTATGATCTTTTCTTTTTTCTTGTCCTTATGAAGTTGAGAGTTCACAATTATATATCTTGGTGTGGGTTGATTTTCATCTATTATTCTGGGCCCACGTCTATTTTTTACCAGACTGATTTCCTAAAGAATGTTATTTAGCATATTGCCTGGCGGTGATGTGGTAGGCCTTCAACAAATGTTTATTGAAAAAGACACATTGTTACACTTGAGAGAATAGCTTTGCCACATACTAGTTGCAAGTTAGGTAAGTTACTTGTCCTGTTTTCCCATTGGTAAAATGGGAATGATAATGAGATAATCTATATGAAAGCATGTAGAATCATGCCTGACATATAGTAAGCATTCAATAAAAATAAGGTATTATCATTATTATTATGATAGTATTATTGGCTGGGCATGGTA